TGTCCACCTGGGATGCGCTGCTTGAGCAGAGCCCTGTTCCCTGTCCACCTGGGATGCGCTGCTTGAGCAGAGCCCTGTTCCCTGTCCACCTGGGATGCGCTGCTTGAGCAGAGCCCTGTTCCCTGTCCACCTGGGATGCGCTGCTTGAGCAGAGCCCTGTTCCCTGTCCACCTGGGATGCGCTGCTTGAGCAGAGCCCTGTTCCCTGTCCACCTGGGATGCGCTGCTTGAGCAGAGCCCTGTTCCCTGTCCACCTGGGATGCGCTGCTTGAGCAGAGCCCTGTTCCCTGTCCACCTGGGATGCGCTGCTTGAGCAGAGCCCTGTTCCCTGTCCACTCCCTCGCCTCAGCCCCTCTTCCTGTTACCATGGGAAAGGAGTCTGTGTGGAACATGTTCAGTTGTATCCCAAGGACGTTTACTAGGATGTTTTCCATTTATTTATTATGAAATATTTCAGACATAATCTCCCATGTAGCTACCACCCTACTAAAGAGATAAAGTATTGGCCCGGCCAGCGTGGCTCAGCGGCTGAGCATCGACCTGTGATCCAGGAGATCACAGTTGGATTCCCGGTCAGGGCACAGGCCCCGGTTGTGGGCTGGATCCCCAGCAGGAGGCAGCCGGTCACTGACTCTCATCATTGATGTTTCTCTGTTTCCGTCTCCCTTCCTCTCTCTGAAATCAGTAAAGCTGTATTTAAAAAAAAGAAGATAAAGTATTGCCAGTACACGGGACCCTCCAGCCTCCCTAACCCTCGTCCGCTCCGCTCCGCCCTGTCCCGNATTGCCAGTACACGGGACCCTCCAGCCTCCCTAACCCTCGTCCGCTCCGCCCTGTCCCAAGTAACTGCCCTTCTTGGCTCTGGTTTTCATCCCATGAATTCCTCTGTAACTTTACTATGTAGGTATTTTTTTTTGAAACAATACATAGAATTGTTTGGTATGCTTTTCAGTTTTATATGTACCATATCACACTATGCAAGTGACTTTTCCCCCAGCAATGTTATATTTAGGAAATTCGTCTATATGAATACATAAAATTCTAGTCCACCTGTTTTTTCTCTAATGATGATATTCCACTGTATGCATATACCAAAGTTCATTTATTTTCGTTGATTTATATTTAATATGATGCAGATGTATTGCAAGTGCAGACGGTCTTGGTACTTGTCTTATACACCTCCTAGTGCACAGAAATGAGTTTCCTGAGCCTAGGCTTTGTCCAGGCGCAGGGCTGTGGGGTGAGGAATGGACGTCTTCCTTATTCGGAGAGGCTGGGCCAGCTCAGAATGCTACCAGCAGAGTGCGAAAGTGGGACCTGATGCTTTAAAATTAAATTAGAGTGAGAAATACCCATTGGATGATGTTTCTTTATTTTCTCCAAAATTTTTCATAAGGATATTTTATTTTTATTACTTAATATCTTTTACATGCAGTGCCATCACATAACTCACTTTTTGTTCATGCTAAGAGATTGTTTTCTCTGCACTCACATGCTGTGCCTGTTTACAGAGATGTAAAACAGCTGGTTGGCTTCCCTGAGGAACCTCCAGGACTCCTGGCATCACCAGTGGCTGCTTCCTCTTTAATTCCTTTTTGTCTTGACTGCCAAGAAGGCAAGAGCTAAACCTCAAGGCTCAGGTGTAGAAGCAGATTTGTGTTGATTCCCCCTCTCTTCTTACCTGGGAATATGTCTCCAGCATGGTTCCTGTAACAGCTGCGTCAGAAGCAGGGGTGCTCGTTAGAAATGCTTCTTCCTGAGGCCTGGCACAGACCCGTTAAACTGGAATCTCCAGCATGAGACCCCACAATTTGCACTTTAAAAGCTCATACGAAATTCGCTGTCTTAAATTTCAGAATCTACTGTATGGTTTGTAATCCTGGTTTCACATGCATTGTGATTCTTCCAGACTTAGGAGCTGTTGTTCAATTTCAATTCTTGACATTTTACAGAAGGAAAAACAGAATCAAACATATTGAGATTTGCTTGTAATGTGAGTTCAATTTTAAGGATGCCTCATGTTCCCCTCTGTTGATCTTACTGATTGTTCTGATTAATCTTACCCTTCCTTTGATGGCCTTGGTTACTTGTGGTTTTCACAGATCTAGTTAAGGCTGGTAAAGAGCATTTGCTCTGTTGATTATTTCCTTTGACATCCTCCGGCTTCCTCGCAGAGTGGACTAGTGGATGTGTTAAAAGAATGATTTGCCCGGTCGGTACATTGTGGGTTCCCTTGATAGGAAAGCACTTGTGTCCTTCATAGATGGTCTGCATGTGCTTTGTAGGCGGTTCCAGTGAACAGGGTATCTTATGAGCCGATACAAGTTTGGCATTTTCCTGGATTGCTGTGTTGATTCTCAATGTTTCAGTTGAAATTGAAAGATTGCTACAGTGGTTTTTGCTTGGCTGTATTTGCAGTTCAGTGTTAGAGCTTTTGTAAATTGACTTTGCATACTATAGTGTGATCTGATTGCAGCTGTTACTGGAAACAATTTT